CTTCCTGAGTCTCCTTCCCCTTTATTTGATAGTTATGTTCCTTCTGTTACCCCCACCCTTCCCTGAACTTTTCAACACTCTGAGAAGTGATCTTCGATCCTTTCTATAAGTTCGATCGTTTAATATGCTCAGAAAAATGTAGCAATGGTAATAGTCAAGTCATCAAACAGCTAAGACGATTCAATGGCAGAAGCACGAATTACACAGCTTTCCCAATCCAAGTTTAGAAGCAAAATGAGACAAGGCCAAAGAATAACCATCTCTTTTCATTTGGTGGGGGTGCCTGGTTCCCATAAAAGTCTGGATAAAATTTTATTTAATCTTTATTGAACATAATTTTTTTGTTCCATTTTTTATTTTGAACTGCCTTAATCATCTAGAACCCTATATGCATCTATAGCTCATGTTTGGTGATGATTAAATTAGATTTTTAGTAAATTTTTATAAAAATTGATGAATGTATATTTGAAAAGTTGTGAGTCTCATAAAATATAAGGTTAAAATTAATTATTGATTTTGAATTAGATTAAAATTTAGATTTTAATCCCTACCAAATAAGGGCATAATATATTTTTCTTGTCGACATATTTATTCACAGCCGGCTCAAGGATTAGGCGATCGTCCCCTATTTATGATGACCCTCAATTTTTAAGGTTCGCATATTTTTGCCTTTTTTTTCTTAAAATTTATTTGTCAATATTCATCAAAAAATAATTAAGTTTACGAAAGCCATCTTTTAGTTTGTAAAATTGAAATAGTTTTACAAATTTTATTAACCAAAGAAAATAAATAAACAAATATAAATTGAAGACTAGACTAAAATTTCGTGGAGAAAAAATAAAGCAAAAATAATTTATATGTTGGGTATATCATAAAGAAAGAGTGAGATAACATTGGTGATTCCCCATCAACATCACCCACGAATTATCAACGATATTTACCGAAAAAGTCGTGTCAATGCTTGCTAAAGGTGTTACTATTGATAATTATGTTTGAATAATCAATACATTTGATTTCAATCAAAATCATCGAAAGTATCGAACAATCATACTATTCGTGATCGTTAAAACCTTGTCATCGATAATTAAAGCATCGTAAGAGATTCCCAATAATATCACTAATGATATAGCTATCGAGGATCACTGATAAAGGTACCGTTGTCCATAATTCTGTCTTATTAACCAATATATATTGATTTCAATCAAAATTTTCAACTGTCGTACTGTCGACGAGTACCAATGGATATTTCCTCTTTGAATATTTGATCTACTATTTTTTGTGCTTCACAAATGACCCTTTTGTTCAAAATTCATGACTGCTTTATCGAAATCAATGCCTTTTATACGCAATCTACAATAGGAAATTTTTAAATAAGGGTAAAACCCTCTACCTCCTTTGGGATTTCACTCTCGCAGTTTTTGGTGGAATCCACCCCCCCCCCCCCCCCTTCCCCGATAGATATGGCATATGTAAGGGCCGTCTAGCTAATGTTTTTCATTATTTGAAATGGTAATTATATTGCCACTACAAATATTATTTATTACACCATGTTATAACTATACCTCAAATAAATTA